GGGGGGGGGATGCTCAGTTTGGGGGGGGATGCTCAGTTTGGGGGGGGATGCTCAGTTTGGGGGGCTGACCACTTTGGAGGGTGGATGCTCAGTTTGGTGGTTGATCAGTTTGGGGTGGGGAGATGATCAGTTTGATGGGCAGAAGATCAGTTTAGTGAATCGGTTTTGGGAGTAGATGATCAGTTTAGGGGGTCGGTTTGGGGTGGGAGGATGATCAGTTTGGGGGGATGATCAGTTTAGGGGGTCGGTTTGGGGCGTGGATGCTCAGTTTGGGGGGTGGATGCTCAGCTGGGGGGGGATGCTCCCTTTGGTCCATCCTGTTCCTCCCTCCTCTCCAACCCAAACCATTCTGGAATTCCCTGATTATCTGAGGACTAAAAGTGTGTTTTAGGGGACCAGAACAAGGAAAAAGCCTGTGCTGGGATGTCTTTGCAAGGAATCAAACAGTGTGATCCCAGTTCCAAGGGTTGAATGAAGGTGGGATCAGAAGTGATGCTCAGGGAGCAGCAGGTCAGGGAATGGGGAGTTGGGGCAGGTTGGAAGCACCTTTTCCACCCTCCAGGTGTGGGACTGCAGGGCCAGATGGAGGAACCTCATCCTGGAAAGGGCTGTGGGACCACATTCCCCAAAAACCTGTCCTTTGGTACTTCCAGCTTCAACTTCACCTCCCCAAAATCCTGAGCATTCCTGTTGTCCTACCCAGGACAATATATATTTTATATATTTATATATATAAATATACTTATATATATTGTATTATATATTTATATATAATTTATATATTTTTAACATTATATGTTATGTATATTTATATATAATATATTACATATTTTATATATATATATATATATTTTATATCTATATTATCTCTTCCTTCAGCCTGGGAGGGGCTGCAGGGGGATATCTGGGGTTTCAGATGGTTCAGGGGGGTGGGTGCCCCAAACTGGGAGTTCTCTCAGCAGTAGAACTTTGGGGGAGAGTTTTCCACAGCAGGTTTTTCTGGTTTTAAGGCAAATAACAACCTTGTTGTGCCCCGTGGTGAAAGGAAAAAAAATCCTAAAGAGGTGGCGAGAGGGGAAAATCCCTAAAAAGATGGTAAAAGGGAGAAATCCGGGAAAACTGGTGAACAGCTCCTGAGCCTCTCAGACATCGGGCTGGGATGGAGCCGGGGCCATGGGGCCGGTGCTGACGGCCCGCACGGTCATTTTTGACTGATTTTAGGCTTTTTTGCCTCATTTTGCGGCTCTCCTTCGTCGCCGCTTCCTCAGGGACGGGAAAGCCCTAGATGGCCGTGCCCGGTGTTTCCAGGGATGGGGTGGGAGGGGGACGAGGCAGGATTGGGATTAGGATCGGGATCGGTTCCCATCCTCCCAAAAAGGTGAAAGAGGAACCGGCCCCGCCCACGTGACCCGTCACCGCGTGGGCTCTGCCCTGCACTGATTGGCTGAGGCGCTGCTGTGGGCGGGGCAAGGGGCGTGGCTTCGCGCTCCCCTCTCTCTCTGATTGGCTCTGCCGCCAGCAGTGACGCCTCCTGGCAGTCCTGATTGGCCGCAGCCGCGGCGCGTGCGAGGCGGAGCGCGCCGAGCGCTCTCATTGGCTTCCCCTCGGTGTGGGCGGGGCGCTGGCAGCTGGGTAACCAATGAGCGCCGCGCTGCGCCCGCAGGCCCCGCCCCCGAGCGCTCATAAGGGGCGCGGGCGGCGCGGGGGGCTCAGAGCGGCGGGCGGGCGGGACATGGCGGGGGTGGGCGCTGCGCCCTCCGGCCGCGCCGGCCCCGGGGGGCTGCACCCGCTCCGCGCCACCGTCCCCTTCCAACTGCAGCAGCGCCGCCGAGACGGGGCCCGCGCAGGTAACGGGGGGACCCCGCCTGGCCCCGGCACCCGCAGGGCACGGGGGTCGTGGATCGGCCCCTCCGCCCCGGGCACCCGCTCGGGGGGTCCCGGGGCTGTGCGGGCAGGGCCGGGCTCGGCCATCCGTGTGCCCCCCCCGAGGCTTCTCCGCAGTGACGGTGCGGGGGTGGAAGCGAAAGGGAAGTGGGAGAAGCGAGGGCAGAGCATTGGGGACAGGGACGGGGAGCGAGGGGACACTCGGCCCCCCTGGATGGGTCCCCCTGGGCTGGGACCCCCAAGCGCGGGCACCGAGCCCCCGCTGCTTCTCCCCTCACAAGGAGTTGCCCGTTTCGAGGTGGTGTCACCAAAAAAACCCCCCAAACCCGAGCCCTGTGTTTCGTGCGGCTGATCCGTCTCGATAAAAAGCAGGAATTGGGTTTGCCCCGATGGTAATTCGTCCCTAATTGCACTTCTGAGCTCTCCCTGACCGCTTCAGGAATGCTTAAATATAACTTTTTAGCGGCCTAATAATAGTCTTTGGCTTTTCTCTGTGTGTGTGTGTTACTTTTGGCAGTTCCCGGGGCTGCTCTTGGATGTGGGGTTGCTGCTTTGGCTGCTCGTTATCTCACGGAGTGTTAAAATAGCAGTGAAACGCTTTGGGGGTTAAACGTGAGATCAGAGTTGTGGGACAGGGGGAGAGATTTCTCCAGCTGAATTTGGTGCTGGTCCCTCGCTCGGTGCAGAGGGTGTTTAATCTGCTCTGCTGGGAATTCCCCAGGGAGAATGAATGGCCCTTCCCGAAGTGTCCCTGCTCCAGGCTCCCTCCTTCCCGCCGCTGGCAGGGCTGGGATCGACCAGAGGAGCTGTTAAAAAGCTTTCTGCTCAATTTACACTTGAAACGAGTTAATGAAATAATCCTTTCGAGTGCCAGCCTCCCCCTCTCGGCGGCGAAATGGAGGTGAAGCTGCTGTTAATTGGGCAATTACTTTGCTGCTCCGAGAAAATCGAGGAAATCCCGAAGGAATGGGAGCCGGGCTGTCATCCCGGGGCTGTGCTGGAGCTCTGGGCTGTCCCCGCTCCAGAGTTCCACGGATCCCATGCAGCTTTCCCAGGGCAAAGTGGCTGGAGCTCCGTTCCTCGCTGGCTCTGTGCCTCGCTGTGCAGGCTCTGGGATTGGAGCTTGGATTTTTCCTCTTGCTCATCCCAGTGGT